TTTTTTTTTTTGTTTTTGTCTGTGAAATAGTATGGAGACTATTTGCCTACAGTATTGAAAATCTATAACTAAAAAATGTATGTGTTCTAGAATACAATATATACTAGAAAAAATATATATATACTAGAAAAAAATATATATTCTGGAAAAAAAATATATATACTAGAAATAAAATATATATTCTCGAAAAAAATATTTATTTTAGAAAAATATTTTAGAAATAAATTTATATTCTACAAAAAATATTTAATTTAGAATAAAATATATTCTTGAAAAGAATATATATTAAAAATAAATAAATTCTAAATATTCTAGAAAAAAAAAAATAAAATAGTTTTTTCTAGTTTTTTAATGAAAATAAAATAATATATATACTTTTTTCTTTAATAACTTAATGGAATAATTATATTGTTTTATAATTAATTCTAATTATACACAAAATAGCCAAGTTTTCTCAATTTAATTTATCAATTATTAAGCTAATTTATTTATATTAAATTATTTTAAGTGTTTACACTGTTCACTGTACATTTTTATTTTGTAGTTACTCTATTTAATTTTTAATAGCTTTAAGAAAATTGCATTTAAGCAAATTAATCAAATTTCATAACTTATATTTTATTAAATACATTTTTTAATATAATCTATTTAATTATTTTAATGTCCTAAATAAATTTTTTTTTCATGTTCTACATATTTGTTTGTTTATTTATGTTTTCTTTTCTTGTTTTTTTTTTTAATATAAACACATTGCTATGAGTTCATACCTTTAAAAATTAATTAATTTAATATATTTTTTTATATTATGTTAATATATTTTCATTATTTATTTATGTATATATATAAGTATATATATATAATATATTTTTTTAGTTCTTTATGCTTACATATGTATATTTTTTTGAATACCTAAATACATAATTTATTTTTTAATTGTTTTACAACATTTTCAGTCAGAGTGAAAAATATATATATATATTATTAAACATTTCTTTGGGTTTCAAATATATAAATATATTTATTAAATTTTAATAAATAATACAATATTAATACTAAAATAATTTTGAATGTAAATTTAGTGTGTTTGTGTGTGAAAAGGCATAAAAATGCTGTACTTACTATCATTTATGAGCGAGTGAAAAAAAAAAATATATATATATTAACATACATGTTACATGTATACTTTAATGTAATATAAATAATCTATACACATAGATTATATACATTATTCAATAATATACACACATGATTTTAATGCAAATTAATATATTAATACGAATTTTTAAAACTTATAATTTGAATTTCTTTTTTTTTTTATTTCGTAGATTTTTATTTACTTACGAATTTTAGTATATATATGTATTCTTGTTTATTTGTATATTATGTTATAAGGAACTTGTTTTATATATATTTCGAAAGTTATTTAAACAAATGAATTAGTAACGTGAAGTAAGTCAAAATTTAAGTGCCAGGGTAGAAGGAATAAAATCATATATATAAAAAATATTGTGTGTTCTTTTGTAAGTGCTTCCTCTCTGCACAAATGCTTTAAAAAATAAATTAAACTGTTTCTTTATTAAAGACAATTTAATAAATATAGGTTATAATTTTGATATATATAACTGAATTGATTTTTTTTTATCTACAGGACTTTTGTAATATTTTGAACGAAATATATCTATAAAAGGACATTAGAACAGACATTAGTTTTAAACTTGGGATTTTGAAATTTATTAGTTACCAATCGGTTGGATTCAGTGAAACATGTATAAATTTTGTATGGTTGGTTATTAACTCCCATTGGTGTTAGTTGTGGATGTTGGTTTGAATTGGCTATCTGCCATATATGCATATATATGTATAAATATATATGTATATACTTATAAATATTATATATTTATATGTATATACGTATATATACATACAAATATATGCATATATTTGAAACGTAGCTACGTATCTTGATTCCACTTCCACTTTGATTCCACTTTAAAATTTAGCATATAGTTATAATGTATATATCTACAGTCTATATATAATTTGTTCACTTCATTTCATTTGTCTTAACTAATAGTCCTACTTATAATTTTTTTCCCTTAAACCTCTGGACACATATAATTTCGACAAACTTAGTGTAATGAATTGAAATAACTTGATATTAATATAATTTATGCTGTACTTTTGAATTTATAGTAATTTTTTAATGTACGTGTAAATTTCATCACTGAGTCGATTGTTACGATTTTTGCTATTGTTGTTGGTATGTTGTTGTTTATTATGTGCCTGTCTATTACTACCAGCATTTTTATCCTTTTCCTTGTTTGTACCACTCCTTATATTGCTATTTGTGGGTGAAGAAGTTGAAGCGCCAGCGCTTTTACGTATTTGATACCATTTTTCGTATGAGTCCTTCGGAATTATTTCAGATTCATAGAGAATTTCGAAAACACTGCAGATCAAATCATTAGCGGTTGTCGAATCTTCATATGCTTGTTGTAGTGCATCTACAATTGCATCTAAGCATGCAATTTCATACTCTTCGCGCATATCGATACAAAGCCTCAATAGTGGTGTGCATTTACTGCGGAATAATTCCGTGTTTAATTGGCGCTTATGCTGTGACTTTTTCGTCTTCTTCGGCGTATTTGATGTTGTGATAGACGACGTTGCTGTGCCACTACTAGTATTATTATTGTTGGTTTGGATCACAGTTGAAAAATCACAGCATAAGCATTTTGTGAGATTTTTTATAAAAGTTGAATTAATAATTACATTTGTATTTATATAGTCAATAGCAAGATCGCACTCGTTGGCTGTGTTTAGTAAATATTCGATGCGTTCCACTTGCTCGGCAGTGGTTATGTTATGTGATTTGTTTACTCGAACCGCCTGCGGTATTTTATAATTTCTCTCTGCAATATACTGAAAGCTGTTTGCTTTTATAAACCGATCCCAATCGCTTTCATCGGAGAAAAACCTTTGGGCACGATCTAATTTAAATTCTTTATGCCACATATCATACATATAATTAGCACCAAATTCATTTGTAAAATATACTACCAACGCTTTGAGGAATCGTTCTGCGAATTTAGGACCATTATTATCCCATTGTGAATTCCAAATGTCATCCAAATGCAGCAAACGTTCATGTAGTATTGAACCTAAAAATTCAAATATGTAACTCCAACCATTTGGCACATCAACAAGTAAGTCGGGAAACTCTTCTGCAAACTCATTGTAAGCTGTGGTAAACACTTTTTTATCAAAAATTTTCTTATTGGGTATCAAGTGTATGAATATTTTGGCACAAGCTTCACGTTGCGTGCGTTTAGTATCTGCTAAATGTAGATACTCTATTAATATGTACTGCAACAATGATGTCTGTTGGAATCGATTTGCTGTTTGCCAAATGTTTAACACTTCTTGCCCCCAACCAGAGTTGCCGTCAAGTATTTCTTCAACTAGACCATTGATAATGCGCTGGCATTCTTTATTGTTATAACCGCAGTTTGATGAATTAGTGCTACTACAGCTGCTCCCCACGCTACTTTGAGATGTTGTACGATTGTTATCGAGGTTATCTAATATTTGGAATGGATTTGTTGTACGTCTTACATTACTATCAGTTGTATGTGTACTACCGCTGGCACTTGCGCTAGTGGACGCGTTGTTTGTTAACGTAGTGGAATTTGTATTTACTGATGTTGGTGCACGACCGTGAATTTTCCAAAGACACATTGACGAACAGCCCAACGTGGTATCTTCGTTACGTGTAAACTTAAGTTTGTTCATATCTATCTGTTCATTTTGTTGTACGTAATTCAATTTTTGTTTATTTGATGCAAAATAATTATTATCACGTTGGTTATCAATTCCACGTGAATGACGGGAATTATTTTGACTATTGTAACCAACGGAACGATTAGAGTTAATTAGATTTGTTGCATTGCTTTTATTTTGAACTTTTTCAGTTAAATGTTGCTGTTGTTGCTGCTTGGTGGGAGTCCGCCGTTGTTTATCAGTGTAAGGCTGATCCCAATTACGGGCACGTAAGTCCATAACATCTTGCATCATAAAACGAACGCGACTACTAATTTTTTCTTGCTTTTTATTATTGTTGTTATTACGCGATTTATTTACAATATCGTTGATTTTGCGGAATATTTTATCTAAACGTAATTTGTGTTCTGTTGCTTTACCCTCTAACAGATGGCCGACAGTTGTGAGCAATTTACACATATATTCCAACTTTTCCTCCGATCCATGCTCTAACAACGACTCAATGCAAATCAACACTCGATCACTGCCTAACGATTGCAGTTTGTAAATCTCACCAATGAAACGTACAGTACCCCAAGCTCGCCGTCTGAATTGATATTCTTGGTTTTCTATTTCAGCCTGAAGTTCTATACGCTCTTTGGGATCTTCACATTTTTCTAACTTTTCAACGAGTGGTTGCAATTTGAGTTTCTTAGCATGCGCATCGTTCACATTGGTTTCAAACTCATTTTGTATGCGTGTTATCAGTGCTTTACTATCGATTGTTGTCTCATGAAAAAGGACTTTGCAGAATTTTGCATAGGTTGGTGCGAAATTCGGTTCACTAATGGTCTTTTCAAATATCAGAATTATAACCTAGGAGAATAAAATATTGTTGTAGTTAAATACAAACAATGAAATAAAATAAGTAAAAAGTAAAAACTAAAAAGTGTTTAGTACTACAGTCAAGAAACTTAAAATGCTTATATAAAAACTGATATAGACTATCTTAACATGAAACATTTATGGTAAAAAATATGTAGTACGTTTTTTACGTACGTTCTAGAACAGTTGGAATTTAATGGTTGATTTAAAAATCAGAAAATCGTACACCAATACACAATACTACCATAGAGGCTTCATGTTAACACGTTTGTTGTGAGATAAGACTAATTAAGCTAAAAACTAATAACAAATTATTTTAATATAATTACTTGGTGCATTTTCTCCTGCGTATCAATTGAGATATTTGACATTGATTTCAATAGCACATCAAAATTATCCGGAGTAAGTTTATTCAGCACACCTCGTACCTTCTTTAGTACCGCATCAATATCGTCATTCGGACTAGAATGGGATTTAATGGATTTACTGCGTATGGAATCTGGTTGCCAAGCATTTTCACACTCGGATAGTTTAATTTCTTCATTCAGTGATAGATTCACATGTATAATGTCCATTTTTCGTTGATTCTGACTATTCATGCTACTTGAGGATGTCGCATGAGAGTTAGCGCTATTTGACGTATTGTCATGTTTTTTATTTTGTGTGCGACGCTTACCACTCAGGAACTCAATCGATTCATTAAAGTTCATGTGCTGATATTGTTGTTGGTGTACGTGCTGATGCATATTATTACTTTGATGTTGATTGTTGGAATGATTATGACGCGAAACAAATAATTGTGATATACAACTGCCAGGTGGAAAATTTATAACTGGCGGTTTGCGAGATTGTGCAGATTTTGATATAGTTCTTAGCTCATCCATACTATATCTAGTTAGAGATTTTGTGGTTCCATCAGATTTATATGAGATATTTGTTTGTAATGGCTTATCAGCTCCACCCTCAACTCTACCAAATCCAATTTTGAATTCTAAATTTCTTTTAATGATCTTGTCGTTGATGGTGACGTCACTAGAATTTCTATTTCTGTTATACTCTGCGCTTGTTGGCATATTATTTTTAATATTACTAAAGACAGCGTTTGTTGTATTATCAATAATTGATTTCGTTTCTGATAATTCATCAGAGTCCTTATCTTCAGAGAAGTCGCCGAAACGTATGGCTTTCAATTCAGCATGTGTATCCATAGCATACTGTTGTTCATGTAATAGCAAACGAGCACTTAGTTCCTCCTCATCTTCACCAGGCGAAACGGATTTGTTTAGAAATTCATAATTATGATCGGCTTCACCCTGAGTTGCATTCAAGTCAGGCTGCAAGTATTTCGCCACAATTTCATCATTGTTTAAAAGTTTATTTTTAACCGGAGCGTCTGATTCAACTAAATAGTTTTTGTTAAGGGGAAAGAAACACAAATAAATATATATATATTAAAATGAGATATGTATTAGTAGTTGTAAATATGTGCGATAAACAAAAACCAATGTAAATTATATGTGAGATGCTTGAAAAAAATAAATATTACTTTCATTCATAAAAAAATTAATTTTATTCTTATTGTAAATTAAATTAATACCAAACCAAACCAATGCAAAAACAAAATTAAATATATATGGCAATTAAGTATGAAAATTTGGCAGTAGCCTGCGGTTAAATTAAATAAGCAATAAGCAAAGTGCTGTTAAAATATTTACAAGACAAAATAATAAAATATAATAAAAATAATATAATAAATTAAATGGCGTAAATTTTATCAAATGAAAGAAGTTTTGTGAAAACTTCGATTAGACTATAAAATGTGTTCTCCATAACAGCAGATAGGTAGGTAGCAAAAATTTTAAAAAAAATATCGGGTCAATGTCTACGAGTTACTAGTCTAACGATGGTGGTTATTACAATAACAATATAAACAATAAATAACTGCAATTTGTAAATCAGAACGAACGGTACAGTGTTCCGGTCAGCAAAAGTAAACTGTTGGATCAGAAAAAGTTATAACAGAGACTTGATTCAGAGACTTTAGTTTGTTCACTAAAAGTTAATAAGCTGTCACTAGCAACGGCAGGACAAACTTAAGACTAAGATTTTTAAATTGAAACAATTGAGATAAGTAATAGAGTGTATGTTCATTTCAAAAAAAAAAAATTGTATATATTGACTATATATACAAACTAATATAAAATTGGAAAGTTGGAAATATTAAGCAAAATATGGTATTTATAAAATACATATAACAAAAAAAATTATTTTTTGAAAAATGTCCAGATGTAGCCAAAAAAAAAACACATAGACTATTGATTAGTAGACTTAGTACTGACTTTGCATATCTAATATAAATCGAATTCATTATGAATTCGTTTGAAAATATTTATAAACTAACAAACACTCTATTCATTATAGAATCTTCAAAGATCCAATATAATTATAAAAACTTCAAATTTCCTAGACATAATCAACGTTGAGATATATTACAATTTATATTCTATTTAAGCAAATAACAATATACTTTATCTGCGCTATAATTTAATTGTTCTTCAAACATCTCGTATGAATCTCAAAGTTTGTTTTTATACACTATATAGTTGTTAGATATTTATAAATTACTTTTTGTAGGTTTGGGTTTATTATTTGTACGACCATCATTCCTTTCAACCTTCTGCTGTTCGTCTCCAGTACGTTTATTTTTTTTCTGCTGATTCTGTTCATGCTGCTGAGGTTGCTGCCTTTTATTTGCCGTTTTATCAGGACAGGATGGTCCTGAATCACAACTAACATTATTCGTTTGATTTTTCTTCTTAGCATTTGCTTTATTCTGATTCTGATTTTGATTATTATTGTTCTGAAGCTTTGCAGTAGTCGTTGTTACTGTCTGAACAGTTTGATTATTATTGTTATCATTTTCACTAGTCTTTTTTAAATTGTTTCGTTCATTTTTTTTGTTTTTAGCTTCAGCCTCTCTGGCACGTTTCGCAGCCTTTCGATTTTTTTTCAAACTTTTTGTGGAAACACTTTTATTTGATTGGGAAGTATCTGTTGCTGTCTGTTCTAGATCTTCTACTGCATTGTTAGTTTTAGCATTGTTAGTGGTTTTCTTATCTGGCAAAGTTTTCACTATAATAGGCGAAGCTGAAGAGCTTGTGCTTGGAGTTGGGGTCATCGAAGCAGTCAAAGTTTTTCTTTGCATGATCGTAATATTTCGTTTACTAGTTACTTTTGTTGTTGAGACTACTGTTTGCGGTAAATCCTCTTCAGTGTTACTACCTGGAAAATTTATTAGAATTATGCATGTAGTGAGGGAGAATTTTATAATGTGAAATACATTATATTTTTTAGATAGAAAAATAAAATTTGAAGAGTAAAGAGTGAATTGGTAGGTGTATATAATTTACTTTGTTTTTTCGTTTGTTGTATCTGTTCTTTAACGTTGGAGAGCGTGTTTAATTCTTCAGATTTTGAACACTGTTTTGTTGTTATAAGTTGATTTTCTTCTCGTTGCAAAATCTTTATTCGTGGACCTTCATTCGATTTCGGCTCCTTTACTACGACAGATGTAAGCTCTGTTTTTACAAATTCTTGTGCGTTGCTTTTTTTTAATATAGAAGAATTTTGAGTAACTGTTAATTCTTTAGTAACTGCTTTAGTCTTTTTACTTTTGACTATCTCTATCTGTGGCGATGTTGGATCTTTTACTGAAACGAAGTCAAAATTTTTAAACCAAATTTTTTTTTTGTGAGACTAACTAAATGTTCAAATAAATGCTACGATTGTTGAAAATAATTGTTCGACAATCTTTTTCCCATATAAAAATACAAACTAAACAATCGAAGTCGTCAAAATAAATTTTTGATATTTTTGACTTTAATATGCTAGTTCTTTTCAAATTATATCAATAATTCAAAGGTATTTTAGTGCATAAAATTTGTGGCCATTTCTTTCTTCTATTTAACACAACTCGGGAATCATTAAAAAATGATCCAAAAATTAAAAAATATATAAAATAAATATGTTATAAAAAAATAATGGAATTATAGTGTTGATGCGAAATTTTACGCATGTGTCTTTAAATCAATGAAATCAGTTTTATTGCGTTATTAGTGTATTAAATCCTACAACATTTGCAAAATTAAATGTAAAAAAATTAAAAAGCAAACCAGATAATAAATTATATACAAAATTATTATTAATTAATTTAATATTTATAAATAATATATTAAAAGCATACCATAACCATAATGACTACATGTTAAATTATTAATGATAGTGCCACCTAATTATATTGAAATTGATTATAAATAATTAAGAATTTAAAATTTACCGTCACTGAAACTGCAAATATTATCAACTTCATCTTCAACTATATTTGTGCTGGACTCTACAGGCACTTCTTCAACAACAACCGTTATGTGCTCATCCTCAAATTCTATTGTATAATCCTCAGTTTGTTTATCTGAATTTAACTTAGTATTCGAAGTTGTTTGTGAACAAATAGAGGTATTATCATCATACTCCTCTTCAGTAGCGGAAATATTGGAGACAGCTGGTGATGAAGAGACGGTGAAAGTCGATTTTTCTTCGTAGCTAGTTTGATTCATATTGGAATCAACAGATAGTTCGTTTTGTAAATGTTGTTCATAATCATCAGCTGATGAGTCAGCAAGTAGTGATGCCTCAGTTTGCTCCGTAGAAGTTAATAGACTGTCACTAGCAATAGTATTTTCTTCAATATTTATACCGCTATCATCTTTACTTTTTTTTAATGTATCAGGTGATGTTTCTGTTGAAGTGCTTTGTCTTCTGGGTTTTTCCTCAAATATACTCACCATTGTATCGGGATTTATAATGGGAATAGCGTGTTTGCGCGGTTTCACAATTTCTGTATTGCTATTCAAAGAATTTATAGACGTATTAGATGAGGATGCCGCACCAATTGCATTAGATGCTTGCATATGTGTGCTATATGTCTGCAGTGAGGATGATGCTGTTGGTGGTTGCGGTATTATAGGTGATTGCGGTGTACACATTGGAATGGGCGGTTGACAATATGGTTGAATGTATGCTGTTGTTGTACCCATGGGTCCACGTGTTGCAGTTTGCAAGACCTGTCCAACACCCGGCTGTTGGTGAGAATTTGAAAGAAGTTGAGCTCGCGGTCCAGTTGGGAATGCAAAAAATGGTGGCATCACATAAGAACGATGAGTAAGCACGCCACGCATCTGTGTATTCGGTACGCTTATGTTGCCTGGAAAATATTGTAGAGCTTGTGCGGGGGGCATACCGTGTGGCTGCTGCGGTTGATGTTGCGCTGCGGTAAACAATGCTTGTTGAGATGTGTTTTGTGTCGTGTTTGCATTATGATTACCAACAGGTGCCGCATTATTAGCATATATTGTTGCTGCCATTACAGATGCTGGAGGCGGTGCTTGCTGGTATGGCATGTGGAAAGTTGTTGTCATGAACCCTGGACCATGTGCGGGAATAATGTTGGTATTGCCGGCATATTGTATATTTCCGGTATTATTTGTTGCAGACTGTTGTCTTCCAATATTTCCTGTATTATTAGTGTGGTTAATACTGTTATTGTTGCCATAACATTGTATTTGTCCTCCGGATTGTGTTGTTGTATGCGGCGTACTAGAATTTTGTAATGGTGGCGAGGATGCCAGTTGTGGTCCAGGTGTGCCATTATTAGATTGAGGCAACGGCGGAGGCTGATTTAATATTAAGAATGATTGTGATGGATGTGCCAGTTGCGGCTGCGGAGCCTGCTGTTGATTTTGTTGCGGGTGTTGGTAATGGGAAAGATTTTGTGTTTGGGTTTGATGTCCCAGATGCAACGGTGCCGACGAAAGTTGCTGTTGTTGTACAGCGTGAATTGAATGCCCTGTCTGATTCGCTTGATGCAGTGCTTGTTGACCGGGATGCAACTGTAATTGAGATATAGTCAACTGGTGCTGATTTAATTGTTGCGGCTGTTGCTGTGCTGGGCGATTTCCCTTCCCACCCCCTCCCGCTTGATGTAACATGGGAGGAGTTTTAAAATTTCTTCATTGTATATAACAAATTCAAAATTGTCGACATATTTTATTTTTTTAAATTTTATTATTATTTCATTTCGGTTAGTTTTGTTTTGATGATTTGTTTGAAATGATTTTGATTTTTGCGTTCCATAAGGAGTAAAAAGTGAAAAAAATTATATATGTTTTTATGTTAGTTTTTTTTTCTATTATTATTTAAACAATATATAAAAATGTTAAAATGATACGTTTTTTATGAACGTGCAAAAATTATTTTTAAATAAAAACAATTATATTTTATTGTAATTGTATATAATTAAAATACTAAAAAAATCGTAGTTTTTACACACAAACACACTACACATTTAATTTTTTTACCTTATTTTTATAGTAATTTAAATATGCGAATTAAATTAAACAAAACAAAATTGTAAATAAAGTATAAAACAAGGAAAATCTATAATATAAAATCAAAATCTGTAAAATTTACCTAGATATAAAATACAAAGGATACACTTATATTTTACATACTGTTGTTAATAATTTAATTTTGAATATCAAAATTACAGTATAAAGTTATTATCTAATTAACTATATATAAAATGAAAGTAAAAAACTAATTACTTTACGGAGAATTACTATACTTAATACTTTTTGATTTATATTTATATATTTTATTTTTAATGCTACTTTATAGTCTTTATAGTAATTTTCTAAATTTCCCTCACGTTGTCTAGGGATGCTAAGTAATTTATATATATTCAAGGGAAAGTGGAAAGTATTCATAGATATACTTTAAAGATACATTTATATATGAAATGTATAGATAATTCTTCCGAAATAATGAAAAGAAATAAATATTTATTTTCCTTTCAAAAGGCAACGAGTCTATGTTCCAGAGCTCCCAAAATACAATAAATACGATCCAGCTCTACCGTTTCAATTTCAACTTTTGCAAGGATAGTGGAATGATACAGTTTTAAACAATATTAGTATATATTTTATCTTTTTGTTTTTATATATGAATAACAATATCTTCTTTGCTTTTCTACAAATCTAGTTATTAATACTAAATTAAACAAAAAAAAAATGGTAATGATCTTATAAGAGAATATAATATAAACAATCTTGAAATCAGTTATAGTATTGGTGTAAGAATTAAACTTGGTATATATACAATAGATATATTTTCTTACTCTCGATTTATATGAAACATTTTGCTCTATTATTAAATTATTCATGAAAAACACTTTATTGCACTTTCAGTTAAAACTCAAACTGAATTATGTGTCGGGAATATAAAATCAAATCAGTTGTAGGCGTTCAGTTCAATACATTAACATTTTATATAAGTTAATTTTTATATAACTTTAGCCTCTATACCCCTCCTTCTTCCCAATGTTTAAATTTCAAATGTTGACAGAAGCGAACAAAAATGAAATTGTCAATTATATCTTCCATTTCAACTGCAGAGCTAGCTATTCAACTATATTGAAATTGCCATTGTAGTAAGTAAAAATTTTATTGCTTTTGAAAAAAAAAAGCGGATATTGTAAAATAATAAAATAAACAAATACGAATAACTAAATAACCAAAGAAATATGCAACAAGTAAGCGAGGAAGAATTGTTTATACGAATACAAAAAATGATGATGTTATTTTCGTAATAGCCGATAAAAAATTGCTTAAAACTTTAATTCTCCTTTTTCTATACATGGAAAACAGAAATTTCGTATTAATGGATTCACATCGAAGGAATGCTTATTGGTTGTTAATAATCAAAAAATTTTTTTAAAAAATATTCCTATAATAACACATTATAAAATGAAGTTAGTTTCATCGATGTTTATTCCAGATAAGTAACGATATTTGTTTGAAAATAATAGAACTACGATATAGGTCCATCGAAACAATGGACTTAATTTTTTAATGTACTATCAATCCATATATTTGTTTTTGCGGAGTGGAGGTTTAAAAATGCCTAACGCATTGTCACTATGTCGTCATAATAGTGGTATGCCCGGTCAATCCATATATAGCTATATAGAAATCAATTTTAACTATTTTACATATACATCATCTTTACTTTCTTAAAACCTGACAAAGTATAATGTGTTCCTTCATAAAACTAAGAACAACTCAAGTGTGATTTAATAATGGTTTTTGATAAAATTGATTGAATTGGACCTTCCTATAACTGTTCACATCCATTTCATAACTGAAATCAAAGTGACTACTAATTTATGAAATTGAATTCATAATAAAGTCAGAAATTTTTGGTTAAATAAAGTAGAATGAAGCATATATTCTAACGAAATATAGACATCTCTAACAGTGCAACTTTGTAGACCCCAGCTTTTATTTTTAAATCAAGTAAGCTTTTTTAAATGTGCAATTTAAGTATATTATTGACCTTAACAATTAGAGACTTTATATGACATCAAATCAATGGTACGTGTCATTATAATGAAATATCAAAATGAAATTCCAAACAATGTAAAAAATATTTTAAAATAATTTTTTATAAAAAAAAAGTTATAAAAAAAACTTTTATTCATTTTTTATATAGCTTCTGCAGAGTAGGCCTTGTAGAACCATGTTTTTTTCTATAACCCAAAGTAAAGAGACCCACAGCATACTATACATTAAATAATTTTTTAATTGTAGTATAATAAATAATAATAATTTTATATTTTTATTTATTTTATAATAATTTTGGCGTTGATTGTATATTCATTATACTGAATGTCTAATTCATTATATAATTCGTAAGTTATATACTTGTATATCAAGCAGTATATAAAATCTGGAAAATATTTAAAAAAAATTAGTTAAGCCCACAGAAAAACTCTAAGTTAGTATTAAAGAAGACTGAAAATATGACTTCTAAAAAGTCATATGGACTAAAATATGAGTCATAATTCTGTGACTTAAGATGTTACATTTTTTTTGAACAGAAAATATTTTAACTTCAATATTTCAACTTACAAATATTTCATAAAAATTACTATCTATTGTGCATAATTTTTCTACAATCGACCTTTAAGCTAAAGTCGATTGACTCATTTTAAATAACACGTCTAATATTAACTGTCTCCAGTTCTTTCCATATGATTACATTTCTTGGGCTTTTCTAACTTAATGTCGTTTTGATACGGAATGCTAATAATTGCAAACTAGTTATTATTCTTGTAATAATTACTATTAAATCGAACCAGATTATATATATATTAAATATTAACTAAAATAATACCAAAGATATACACATATATTTAACTAAAATAGGTCTTTAATAAATACAAAAACTTTTTATTGGAAGTTAAAAATTGCAACTAAGTATTGAATTCATTAGTCCAGCGAATATTATTATTTTAAAAATCTGGAAAGTTCTATATGTTGCCCTTTTCGCTTATCCAAAGTACAGGCGCTAATATAAGCAAATAAACACAAATTTCTAGAGAAATTGCATTCACGTGTATCAGAAAAAAGGTGTTTTGTTAAATAAATTGTAAATAAAAATTATAAAAAACACAAAGTATTTGCTGATAACATTCGAGTTTGTCGTAATGACGAACACACGTCATCAACAAGTGTTTTCTGATTGAAGCGATGTGTAGGATGGTACAGCAATGCCTTATGAACAAAGAAAATGCTATAGTAGAAACAATAATATGCAGACAATATTATACAGAAAATAAATTAGAAATAGACGGCGTACGTGTACATTCCATTTAAAACTATATTCATACATATATGAAATAATATATATATATATAGGGTGCTACAAGATTTAAGATAACAAGATTCAAAGTAAAATCAAAGTGATTAATTTAATAATAGCGATTAGTTTAATCATAAATAATAATTATTTCTTCCAATAAGGAAGGGATTGAATTTCTTTTTAAAATTATTTAAAAATTGCTATAAATTCCAGTTAAAAAAAATTATTTGTTTATAAGGGTCTTATTTGTGCCATATGGTGCACTTGCATCTTTGTTGTTACTTTTTTTTTTATCATTTTAAATAGATAAAATTAAGTAAAATAGAATAAAGTAGCTTCTTAGTAAACCACATATTTACTGATATTCATAATTCCAAGTACAACTACAGCAACTGTTAGTTATTTCACTCCGCACTGAGCTTGACGACTATCCATATTTAAACTTGAGCATCAAACTTCACAACAGTAGCAGTGAAAAAATACTGAGAGTGAAAACAAAAGAAAAAAAGGAAAATAAAAGTGCCATTAAAATTTGGTGATATAAGATATATGTACTCGTAAAATCTCATTTATATATACATATATAAATCCAACAAAATGACTTCAAACATATGGTTGAGTTGATGACAGGGTTTAGAACCCCCTACTTATACTTTCTGCAGAACGTCAATGTTATTCCCGACATTGAGCGAATTATCTCCAAGTGTTCTATTTTATAGTGAGGGAAAGTAAATAAATATTCACATTTTTATCGACAACTTTTGAAGCATTTAGACTACTAAATTATTTAATAGAGTGACAACCATAACAAAACATTTAAAACAATATGAAAGTACAAAATTCTTTTATAAAAAATGTTCTAAAGGTTTTTTAAAACAATTTCAATATATTCGAAAATTTAAAAACTTTTTTAGGTATTTAAAAATGTTGATATGACATTCAATGACAATGTTGGGAAAAATACTTAAATAAATATGCAGTGTAGGTTATTTTTTTTTTTTTTCTTTTTAGATTTTTATTGTATAAGCAATATGAGCAAAAATGTTTATTTATTATTTCATTAAATTGTTAAAAAAAATATATATATTTGTACTATATACTATATATTTTATATGTGGAGGTTTCAAAAAAGAATGCGTGTTGAAACATTGTAAATATTTGGGGTGTGAGTATATAAATATTTATTGTATATTTTTATAAGTTCAAATTATTAAGAGTCATAATAATAATTAGTAAATTAACATATTTATAATTTTATATCCGATCAAAATTCTGCCAATAATTTATATTTGTTAAGTATGTGAAGT